TTGTGAAAGATCTAGCTGGCTGGCTGTCTCTCTCTGACTTTAATGCAGTTGAAAATAAATCATCGTTGAAGTGTGATGAGGTAGCTTGGACTTACTGCAGTTGGAAGACTTTCCCGCTGGTTAGAATGGGCCTTCAGGTGGCGAGGAGGAGGACAGAGATGTGGACTTTTCTAGAGCTCTTTTGTGCCCCAAGGCCTACTCAGACACTTTACATCCATCCTGCTGTCAGCTCCCTCCAGCAGCCAGATACAGAAGGATAAATGGCCTCCCACCCATGAGTTGATGCAGCCAGGATGACACTCCATGCAGTGTGACCGACCCCATGGGTACACTGCATGCTGGACACTTGAGTCGAGCCATTCACTGCTCATGGATATGAGTTCATGGGAGAATGCTACCTTGCAGTTAAGCCTCATATATCAAATAGGATGAAAATATTTCTTGGCAGAATTCTTTTTTCATAGACAAACTGGAAAATTGAAGGATTTTTTCCCATTTTTTTAATCAATGTCATAGAGTATTTTCATATGAAATCACGTGTCAGAAGTTAGAAATGAATATATGCTTAGCTTTTGTGATGATATTAAGTACATTAAACATCCTTTCTTTAAAAGAAATTGAGTTGACATTATTATTCAAAGCTAATTTATTTAAAAGTTGTAAAATGTGTTTGGGAGGCTGGCACCCTGGTATACAGCAGGTTCAACCTCTGCCTGTGGGGCTGGCATCTCATATAGGTACAGGTTTAAACTACTCACTTGGTCCACTTCTGACCCAGCTCTCTGCCGATGTACCTGGGAAGGCAGCAAAAGATGGCCAAAGGCATTGGGCCCCTGCACCCACCTGGGAGACATGAAGATGCTCCTGGCTTCAGAAGGGCCCAGCTCCAATTGTTGCAGCCGTTTGGGGAATGAACCCACGGATGAAAAATCTCTGTCTGCCCTTCTTTGTGATTCTGTCTTTTAAATAAAGATGAATATTCTGGGCCTGGCATGGTAGCCTAGTGGCTAAAGTCCTCACCTTCCATGCACTGGAATCCAAACTGGGCACCAGTTTGTATCCTCGCTGCTCCACTTCCCTTCCACCTCCTTGTCTTTGGCTGGGCCCAGTCATTGTGGCCATTGTGGGGGAATGAACCAGCAGAGGGAGCATCTGTGTGTATCTCTCTCGATCTCTCCCTCTCTGTGTATAACATTGCCTTTCAAATAAATAGATCTTTTTAAAAACAGAAACAGTTTATTTAGCCTAATGAAGGCAGGAAACTCTCATCAGGAAGAATTCAGAGGGCAGTCACATAGGAGGTATGATTTTGAGTAAGGATTACAAACGGGGCCCCGGCACAACAGCATAGTAGTTGAAGTCCTTGCCTTGGACACACCGGGATCCCATATGGTCACCGGTTCTAATCCTGGAAGCCCCGCTTCCCAACCAGCTTCCTGCTTGTGGCCTGGGAAAGCAGTCGAGGATGGCCCAATGCCTTGGGAGCGTGCACCCATGCGGGGGACCCAGAAGAGCTTCTGGCTCCTGGCTTTAGATTGGCTCATCCCCAGCCATTGCAGCCACTTGGGGAGTGAACCAAGGGATGGAAGATCTTCCTCTCTGTCTCTCCTCTTTGTATATCCACCTTTCCAGTGAAAATAAATAAATCTTAAAAAAAAAAAGGATTCCGAGGATGGAATCAAGATGGCGGAATAGGGTAAGCACACGTTTAAAAGGACGGAGAAACATTTAATCAGGATGAAACAGAGAGCACATATTTCAGGAAATAGGAAAGGACAGAACAACAGCAGAGGGGTACCTGGAGACTGACAGACACAGGAAAGCAGCAGGCACAGCGGTGTGGTGTTGCAGTGACTGATACTCTAGCATGGCGATCTGAACTCCACCAGTAGCCTGAATTCCAACAGCAACCAGGTGGGAAGGGACTTTCACTGGGAGCTTGGGAGTGAACCCAGACGGGGAACTGTCTGTCCTGCTGGTCTGTTTGATTTGACCAGGAGCAGAGGCAGAGCAGCAGATCCCAGGCAGGCAGTGCGAGAAGAGTGAATTTCATAGCCCAGTCAGCCCCCTAGAGCTGAATTGGGCGCCATTTTGCGTAAGGAGGGAAAGGCAAGGGAAAGGACAGAGCATGTGCTGAACAGGGAGTGAGCTCATTTCTGACTCAGTGAACTGCATCAATGTGGCATTTTACGGGTTGCATCTGGGGCAGGTCTGGGTAACCCTCGGAACTGACAGCCAGAAGATCAAGAACTGTAGTGGTAGCACGTCAGCGCCATTTTGCGCACTGTGGCAATAGCTTTGGGACTGCAGGGGACAACAGTGAACTGTGCATGTGCTGGGCTTGCGAGAACTTGCTGAGGTCCCGCAGGAAAATAATACCGACTGCGGCATGTACCGGTCAAAATAGATCCATGTGGCACCCAGACCTAACATCCAACACTTTCCAACAAGATCAGCACCACCAACAACCTAACTAGATAGTACACCTGGTGTCTCTAATCCTGGAGCCCACTCCAACCGGAAGAAGGAGAAAGGTTGCAGAGACATCGGTGCAGCCTCAGCACGGTATCACAGGAGGTGGAGATTGGTGAGCCAAGAGCTGGGGCTGTGGAGACCACGGTGGATATCTGACCTAAGAATCCAGGCCTGGAACTCGCTGGAGGTTGTGGCACAAGTGGCTGCAAGCAAAAAGTTGTGTACCAACTGCAATAAGTAAAATCACATTGTAGACCTGTGGGTGACACAGCTTAGAAACCTGCCCCAAAAAGAAGACTCTGCTAACCAGAAGTACAATGATCAAGAGCAAAAGAAAAGACAAAGGCACAATGAATATTACTGAGCACTCCCCTGCAAAGGAGCAAAACCCTTTGGCAACCTCAGAGTTAACTGAGGAAGACATCGAGAAAATGGGGGACACAGAATCCATAAGACTCATTTTAAAGATTCTGGTCAAAAATGAGAAGCTCATGCAAGAGTTCAAAGAATTTAAGGAAGCAGTAAAGCAAATCAAGGCTGGAATATCAGAAATTAAGAATACAATAGAGCAAATTAAAAATACATTGGAGAGTCTCCAAAATAGAATGAAGCAAGCAGAAGAAAAAAATCTCAGAATTGGAAGATATTTCCTGTCACCAGGGGGAAGCAAACAAAATCTTGGAAGCAGAGCTAGATCAGGCCAAAAAAAGTATTCAAGAATTGAAAGACACTATTAAGAGGCCAAATAGAAGAGTTATGGGAGTCCCAGGAGGTGCAGAAAGAGAAGCTGAGTTTGCAAATGTATTTAAGGAAATAATCAAGGAAAATTTCCCTAATCTGGAGAAAGAATTGGGAAACAAGATCCAGGAGGGACACAGAACTCCCAAGAGGCTTGATCAAAAGCACTCTTCACCAAGACACATGATCATCAAGCTCTCTTCAATTGAACATAAGGAAAAGATCCTTAAATGTGCACGTGAAAAACATCAATTGACATATAAAGGAATGCCAATTAAGCTCACAGGAGATCTCTCACAGGAAACTCTACAGGCAAGAAGAGAATAGAGTGACATATTCCAGATTCTGAAAGAAAAAAATTGTCAGCCTAGGATAACATACCCCGCAAAGCTTTCTTTCATCTTTGAAAATGAAATAAAATTCTTCCAGAATAAAGAAAAGCTAAAAGAATTTGCCTCTTCCAAACCTGCCCTACAAATGATACTTCAAGATGTTCTCTTGACAGAAAAGAGGAATAGCACCTACCAAAACCAAAGGCAAACGGGAAGAACATCCTAGTAAAATGACAACAGAAGACTAAATCAATGAATAACCCATTCCTAAAATGACAGGACCAAAGTACCACCTATGTATATTTAACTCTGAATGTAAATGGCTTAAGCTCAATCAAACATCATAGATTAAAAAACAAAACCCATCTGTTTATTGTCTGGAGGAGACACACTCCAACAAAGATCAGCGGAAACTCTGGGTTTTGTTGTTTTCTGTTGGTTTCATCTCTTCAAAACACTTTCTTCTGGTTAAATCATTCAATGACTCGTAGATCATGCAGTGGCATCATTTTCTTCAAGAAGGTTCTTGATTTTCACTTCTTCAGCTACACGTTATACATTTAATAGCATGTTGTTTAACTTCTTGGTGTTGTTAATTTCTTTTTTCTCTCAGATGCTGAGTTTGTTTTGTGGCTCTTTCATTTAAGGGAATGTATAGTAGCTGTGTAATGGAGACTGTCATATCTAGTAACATGTCATTTAACTTCATGGCATTGTAAATTTCTATTTTTCTTTCTATTGTTGATTTTGTATCATGACTTTTCATTTAAGGGAATGTACAGTAGTTATGTAATGGAGACTAACATCCAGATGTGAGGATGCAGTGTGGTACGCATTTCTGTTTCCAGACAAAGATGGACTTACAGTGAAACTGTTTATATTGTATTTTGACAATAGGATTCTGGACTCTCTGCCATTGTCCATGCCCGCAAAGATGGACACATGACTGAGTATGAAGAACTATATGTTAGTAATGATATAAAGGAACTAGGTGGGGGGGAGGGATTTGGGGAGGGGATAAGGGAATATGGAACTGTATCATAAAATGATAGCAACAATAATAAAATGTGAAAAAAAAAAAGGATTCCAAGTGGTGGCCCTGTTGGACTGAATGCCACCAGAAGGTAAGGACTATCAGCAGCTCGGGTCTCTGTCATTCACCTGAGTATAGACAGTGGAGGACATGAAATTGAGCTGTTTGTAAGAGAATCGGGATTGTTCATTCACAGACTGTCTGGCAGGGTCCTCTCAGACTCCTCCCTGGGCGCTGGGAAATATCACTCAGCTTGAGATGGCAACATGTACCCAGCTCTGTCCCATCCAGTGTGCTCATCCTACGCAGCGCTGGTGATTGGCATTATTTAAAACAGTCAAGGAAATTGGCTCTTTTGTAGCAGGCCTTGTGCTGGTTTCATGAAGCACTCAGAAGTATTTCCCAACTCTCTTTTCCTGCAGAAATACTGCTGACACTGGAGGCCGCTGGTTGCTGCACCTTCAGCTGACCGGGCTCATTTGCTCACAACGCTTCACAGTCTGGAGAGCCGCGTCTACTTGTTTCCACTTAACCGACGGGCCAGCCAGCTCCCCCCGGGCAAGATCAGCAGCCGGCCCTGGGCCCGGCCCCCCACGTGGAGCTCCGTGGACTGCAGCAGGCAGAGTAGCCTCTTCTCGACAGCCTGAAGCTCACGTCCGGACAGTTGCTCAGTCTGTTCACTGCATTCACCTTAGTGCAACTTAGATCTCTCCTGCAGCGTCAATGTCGACAGGCAAATGTCATCCCATGTCAGATTGAATGTATTTAAGTGTATGTATCTAAGGGGAACCATGCTCTTGTTGGGTTCCAGACACTGGTTTCTTTGCTTTGTTTTCCCTGGCTAATCTGTCTAGTTCGAAAGATTTCAGATTTCATCTGGGGGAAAGAAAAGAATTAACAAACCAAACCAAACAGGCAAAGGTGTTTTGAGCTAATGCCTGCATCTGGGATGCAAGGCAGGTGCGACGGACAGCGCTGTGTATGCAGACACCCCCTACCCCCACTCAGAGGAGACCAGTAAGTCACACTCGTATCTTCTTAGACAACTCTAGAGATCACGTTGTAAAGAACCAAGGAAAAAGAGCCTGTGAGAGGGCTGTTAATATTACAGTTATTTGTTCCTTTTTTTTCCTTGGCAAAAACCAAATTAGTTCACCAAATCATGAACCAAGAAGAAATACTTTTGATTTCTGAATTAAGTTCTTCTCGGAGTAATCACAGCTTGAATTAGCATCTCTTCTCCCTGTGATCCCACCTGTGCCCTTTCCCACTCTGCCACTCCCATCCTTCTTCTGTTCATTCACCTGTTTAAGCTACAGAAACCAGGTAAGCCCTTCATTTCTGTCAGTGACCAGCCAGCCACTTCCCTATTGCTAACTATTGGATTTCAGAAAAGTGCGTTTACTGGCAAGGAGAGGAGCTGAGCAAGGACTTAATTGTGGTCAAGCTGCGGACACCTGCTTTGGGAGCATGCTCGCTTCCGTCCCCAGCAGCCCGGCCTCCGCCCCCGGAGGGAGTGCATACAGTGGGTTGAAATTGACAACAGGTATCCCGACAGATATAACCTCTGCCATGGGTTTTTTTAATTTTTTTTTTCTAGCAGTGCTGACTAAGCCGACGTTTTGTAAGGTACATAAAATCCAATTTATATGTAAACAAGCAATAATTTAAGTTGAGAACTTAAGTGTTTTAATTGTATAATTTTTGTGAGGTATACATATTGTGGAACTGACTCAAAAAATGAGGTACTTCAGTATTAAATTAGATCTCTTCATAGCAGTGTCTCCTAAAGGTGTTTTATAAAGGACATCAATGCCTTGATTAGACCTAATTTGTAGACTTAAGACTTCTTATTTTCTAAACCTTGTGATTCTGCTCATAAATCATTTATCTATATGATAACGCAGCCGCTGTAGGAACCAATTCTTGATTTTTATATGTTTATATCCTTTCTTAATGACCTTAGAAAGACTAAATGTTACTAAGCAGGCCACTTTTATGGTTGTTTTTCTTGCCCACTCCAGTAGGGGAATAACCTTTTATTCATTGACGTTGGTTTCGGACAAGAAACTGACGGCCTTTTTTGAGCTATTTCCCCCCAATCCCGTTACACATCCTTTCTTACCTAGATTCCAGATGTCTTTTTGATGTCTAAAAAGCAAAGCATTTTATAATATCTCATTAGCCAAGCTTTTTAGGAACAGAGAAGTTTTCCTTAAACTGTGTTTGTTTATTTGTGGCAGGGTGAAACATGTACAACTTCCCCTCTATTTATATTGATATCTTCCTCTGCCTGGGCAGATAGAAGTCCAGAGAGAGAGATAGCCCAAAGAGAAGGAAATGGCAAGTAGACAGTCTGAAAGTGTTGCACCAGACTAAAGAAACCTTCTGGAAATTGGCATTTCTATTCCTTTTTCCACTTGAGAGGGACCTACCGGGAGGTAGCCACGGAACAGCACTTCTCAGCTGCTGCCAGTTCGTGTTCCCTCCAAAGCTCAGCTTTTTCTCCACCACACCCTTGGGTTGTCCAGCTGTGCTGGAAGACACGAGCAGGTGTTGGCCCGGAACTCCAGGGCCTCCCCGCAGGGATGTGGCACGTACGTCCACAATATAATGTGACCGGCTTTCAGTTACTGTTTAGGAATCTGTGAATCAGAATGACTTTCAACTTGACACAGCACAAAAGAGAAAGAGAGGGTAAACTGGAATTGTTTAAAATCCCTTTTCACTCTTAACGCCATCCCAAACCATCTGTGTATCTTGATTGTTTACCTGTCTGCCCACTGTGTTTTAATGTCACTCCCAATTCAGACAAATCGACAAACCTGTGATGCTGGTCATTTCAAGTGATTCATGGTCATTACTGTTTGAAGGCAAAGAGATTACAAATTCTCTTCTGGTTCAGATCAGGTAATGGATTTTGTTTTGCATCTAATTAGGAGAAGAAAAGTAAGTGAAGGAGTCCTCTGATCATATTGATCACTATAGAAGCAAAAGCCAAATCAGTTCCCTTCATCATCAGTATTTCTCATGCTGTACACAATAAATTTGTTTGCTGGAATACTTGGTTTTTGTTTAATAGAACAAATAATCAGTGTTTTACTTATATTACTAAATGTGAAAAACATAATGTGAAAAATATACATAACATTATCTTGGTTGTAAAACTCATTTAAGTGTTCATGTGACGTGGTAAGTTTAAGAAGTGAAGTGAGCTGTTTTACTACAATGAATTCATTGGACTCAAAGATAAGAAATGCCCCCCTCCCCCCATGTGTATCTCTTACGGCCTGTGATCATTGAAAGCAATGTTTTTGCAGTTTATATGATGCAATTTTTAATCCATGTTTAAAAATGGAGTTCCTATGGGCTGAACACATGAAATGGGTGGCACAGATCCACTTGCAGAACCCAAAGATACACAATCAATTTTGAAATGCAACTTAAGCCATTAATTGTTGGTGTGAATTTAAAATTTTCTAGTGTTTGTATGGTAGTATGCTGCCTAAAAGCAAAGCATTCTCTGCACAAAAAAAAAAAAACAATTACTGTAGTGGCTTCGATTTTAATTAGAACTTTCTCCCTGGTATTTCTTTATAGACTAAAACAAAATCTTTTAAGTTTCTTACTACAGGTAAAAGCTATGTGCAAGAACCTCAAAATGCTAAAATCTAGCATAATGCCTTAGATCTGTTTTTAAGTCTTGTATATTCCTACATAGCTGTCCGATGTATTATATTTGTATAGTGAATTGTGTACAATTTTTGAATAAGTACATCATCACTTAACCTTTATGTTATTGAATGGTGATGATGATACATTTCTTCAGACATTTAACTGTCATTTTTTTTTTCTTTGTCATTTGTGGGTTTTATTTGTACAGTTCCTCATGAAGTTGCATCTGAGATGTGTGTATATGAAAAGATTATACAAGGGTAAAATTAAGCAATATATTACCTATGGTTCTTCAGGAGAAAGCTTACAGTGTTTCAGGTTGTGATTTATTTTCCAAATGGAGTGGACTCTGAGCATCACTTTGTTCACCTGCGTTGATGTTTGTATTCCTAGTGTGAGCAGTTTATGCAAAGGTAGATCTATTCAGAGAAATTTTAAATACATTTATGCAAGTTAATATTGCTTTGCTGATGCTATTTGCTTATTTGATGTTAAATAATGCTATTGTAAATAAAGAATTCTGTTGTTATTGCATCATTTAATAAATTTTAATGCCTTCGGGTTTTACATGGCTTTAGAGATTTTAATGTGTTTCTATTGTATCTTCTTTCACTACTGCATTTAAATTAAACATACCTTCCTTCAGTCTCATCATTTCGTACATTTATATGATTGTTGACACAATTCACAGCACCTTAACGTTTGATTCTCCCAGTGATTCCTCTTACGGATGTTCAGTTTGAAACCAAGGTCTTCTGTGTGCAGGGTGATCTAACAGTTTGCTCAGTGGCATATGTAGGCCACATCTAGTTCACACAGACCTAAATGATACCACTGTTCTTTGTTTTGTTTTTTAATTCTTTTTTTTTTTTTAATTGAAAAGGCAAATTTTACAGAGAAGAAGGAGAGACACAGAGAAGGCTCCTCCATCCACTGGCTCACTCCTTAAGTGCCCAGAATGGCCAGAGCTGAGCTTCCTCCGGGTCTCCCATGCAGGTACAGGGTCCCAAGGCTGGGGGCTGTCCTCTACTGCTTCCCCAAGCCACAAGCAGGGAGCTGGATGGGAAATGGAACAGCCAGGACACAAACCAGACCTGATGCTGCTACTGTTTTTTAGGACACTTACCACCTCCCATTTTGTTCTCCAAAAATATTTCTGAAAATAATATAGACTTCTAGCTAGCTTGATAATATGATATATTACACTTGAGAATATTTATAATAATTTTATACTATGATAGGGCAATAACTGTTAAACATTGCAAAATATATGAAACATGAATAAATAGAATCTGTAGCTGTACTTTTAAACAATACCACAAACAACATGGGGAGTAGAAAATAATACATTGGTGCAATGTGTCTGTGCTTTTAGCTACATTAGTAGATTAGAAGAAGAAAAACACCTGTGGTGATTAAACTAATAGTTTTTGTCTGGCGGGTTTGTCCAGGAGTGATTTCAGCCCTCATCCTTTTAAAAAAAAAAAAAAATGTGGGAGGCGGGGAATAAAAATAAAACCTTTAAGGGAAATGAGTTTCCTAAGCTTACTTGAAGTTAGCTGGTACAACCCAGATGAGACTTCTTGTTTAAAGAACTGTTACAAAGTTGAAGTCAGAAAATGAGGAGGCCCTCAGCTAATGCCAAGAAAGTGAAATGCTAGTACTGGGGAAGAAATCACTTCTGCCATCTGTAAAAAAAAATAATAAAAAAATCCCTTAGAACAAGTGAAAAAGCTCTGCATCGTGGTTAAACTGTACAAAATCAATGCCTTCTGTTTATGCTAACAACCCATTTCTAGATGTGTTTTTAAATTGTCCCATGTACAATCAAAATGATAGCATGCTTATCTCATAGAATTGTGACTGCTAGGAAGTGTGAAAGCCCTTGAAGAAAACTGCAAATGATGCCTAAAAAGGTGGAGATTACTCCATTACCCGGGAAGGAATCCAGGACTGCCAAGTCACCCACTCCTCTCCACTTCGTTGTGGCCCCAATTAAAACCCAAAACCATAAGATGCATTTGAATGGGAAACTATACATAAAAGTGTTTTTTTAAGATTTACTTATTTTTATTACAAAGTCAGATACACAGAAAGGAGGAGAGATAGAGAGGAAGATCTTACGTCCGATGATTCACTCCCCAAGTGAGTGCAATGGCCGGTGCTGTGCCAATCCAGAGCCAGGAGCCAGGAACTTCCTCTGGGTCTCCCACACAGGTGCAGGATCCCAAGACTTTGGGCTGTCCTCAACTGCTTTCCCAGGCCACAGGCAGGGAGCTGGATGGAAAGTGGAGCTGCCGGGATTAGAACCAGCATCCATATGGCATCCTGGCGCATTCATGGTGAGGACTTTAGCCGCTTGGCCATGCTGCCGGGCCCAGATTTATTTTATTTATTTTTTTTTTTAATTAGGCAGATTTACAGAGAGAAGAAAAGACAAAGATCTTCGGTTGCTGGTCCACTTCCCAACTGGCAACAGCAGGTAGAGCTGAGCTGATCCAAACTCAGGAGCCAGCTGCTTTCCCAGGCCATAAGCAGGGAGCTGGAACGGAAGTGGAGCAGCTGGGACACAAACTGACACCCACATGGAATCCCAGCACTTACACGATGAGGATTTAGCTGTTGAGCCATCACGCCAGGCCCATAGAAAAATGTTTAAAAAGAGAGTGAACACTCAGAAATGCTTAACAAAGTCACCTTAAAAGTTAAGGCCAGCATTTTGGCATGGCAGTGAAAGCCACTCCCTGCAGCACTGGCATTCCATAAGAGTGTTGGTTTGGGTCCTGGCTACTTTACTTCAAATCTAGCTCCCTGCTGCTGAGCCTGGGAAAGCAGCAGCTGGTCTCAGTGCTTGGGTCCTGGCCATGTGTCGGAGACGTGGCATCACATTCTCCCAGAAGCAGGTACTGCAGACAGCTGGGAAGTGAACAAGCAAATGCAGATTCTCTATATTCCTCTCTTTCTCCCTCCTTCTCCCCCCTTTCTTTGTGTAACTCTGACTTATAAATAAATAGCCAGACCAGGTGTTGTGGTTCAGTGAGATAACCTCCCATTTGCAATGTACACATCCCTATTGGTTCCTGTCCTGACTGCTCCACTTCCGATCCATTCTCCCAAGAGGCAGAAATTACAGCCCAGACACTTGAGTTTGTGCAACCCACGTGGGAGACCAGGATGGAGTTCTTGGCTCCTAAATTCAGTCCCACCGATCTGAGTGTTTTAGACGTTTGGGGAGTAAAATAATGAGTGAAAATTCTGTCTCCCCTTCCTTCCTTTCATATACATGTGTGTGTGTCAAGCAAATAAATATCAACAATAATAATAATAAAAAAAAAAGTTGGACTGGCTGTTTGGTGCAACATTTAAGTTACTGCTTGGGTGTCTATGTCCTGTGTCCAGAGTGCTGGGTTAGAGCCCCGGTTGTGCACCCAAGCATTCCTGCTAATGCACACCCAGAGGAGAGGGCAGAGGTGATGGCCAAGTGCTTGGATCCCTGCTGCCAGCACAGGAGTTATGGGTTGAGTTCCTGGTTTTGGCATGGCTCAGGTCTGTTGCAGTCATTTGAAGAGTGAACCAGCACATGGAAGTTAAGATTTCTCTCCCCTCTTCTTCCCTTTCCCATACTTTCTCCCTCTCCCTGCCTCCCCTCTTTCCCTCCTTCATGGCACAATGGGTTAAGCCAATATATTTGATGTTAGCATCCCATTTCAGTGCCAGTTCAAGTCCCAACTGCTTTGTTTCCAATCCAGCTCCCTGCTACTGCACCTGAGAACACAGCAGAGGTCTGGTTGGGCTCCTACCAAACACATAAAAGACCAGGATGGATATCTGGGCTCCTGGCTTTGTCTCAGACCCAGCACCTGCTGTTTCAGCCCTCTCCAACCCTAGCTGTTAGGAGAGGGGACAAGTAGGTGGAAAATCTCTCCCGGTTTCTCTTAACACTTTCAAGTAAACTAACTAAATCTTTAAGAGATCAAATAAGAGGGCCCTGCATGCTAGCCTAGCAGCTAAAGTCCATACCCTGGGATCCCACATGGACATTGGCACATGTCCCAGCGGCCCCACTTCCCGTCCAGCTCCCTGCTTGTGGCCTGGGAAAGCCAGTTGAGGATGGCTCAAAACCTTGGGTCTCTGTACCCACGTAGGAGACCCAGAGGAGGCTCTAGGCTCCAGGCTTTGGATCTGGCTTAGCTCCGGCCATTAAGGCCACTTGGGAAGAACTTCCTTTCCGTCTCTCCTTCTCTCTGTATATCTGACATTCCAATAAAAATAAATCTTTTTTTTTTTAAAAAGAGATAAAATAAGAGATAGTGAAAGTGAAAAATGGCTAATTAAGATATTCAGGACTGTATTGTGGCATAGGAGTTTAAACCATTGCCTTCCGTGCCAGTATGGCCTATAGGCAACGGTTTGAGCTGTACTGGCTCCACTGCCATGTACCTGGGAAAAGCAGCACAGCATGGTCCAAGCAGTTGAGCCCTTGCCACCCACGTGGGAGAACTGGATGGAACTCCTAAGTTCCTGGCTCCAGCCTGGCCCCAGCCGTGGCTATTGTGGTCATTTGAAAAGTGACCTGGTGGGTGGAAGATAACTATTTTTGCCTCTCTTTTTCTCATTTTCTGTAAATGTACCTTGAAAACATATGGGTAAATCTTGCATGTAGATAGATAGACATATATATATTTACACACACACACACATAAAAAGCTGAAAAGAACTCGGTCTGAAAACAGAATGGTTACCACTAGAGCCTAGGAGTGGGAGTGGACAGTGGACACAGAGGGAATTTTGATGACAGGCACCCAGAGTTAGATCAAAAGAAAATGTTTCTATGGTTGCACAGAATATGTGGACACTATGTTCACAATAATCTAGTATAAACTGTGTGAGCAACTAGACGCTCTAACCCTCCAATCGTACAGTAACTTTGAAGGAGACATGTTGATTATATTTTGATCACCTTGTAGCTCATAAAGAGGTACAATTATTATTATCAATTTTTTAAAAAGCAATATTCATTTCTAAACATGGTTAACCTCAGGATCATGATATAGTCTAAAGGAGACCTGGAGCTCACCCAGCCCATCACACAGCAGGTTCCTGGTGCTCACTGCGTAGGACAAACAAGCACCAATGTGCACCGAGGCCTTGCTAAGACGCACAGGAAGTAAGTCTTGTGATGGAGACTGGACACTTCACTTTGGTTTTTTTTTTTTAATTCTGATTTTTTCCTAAATTTAGACATATAAAAAGAAAACAGGATCTTCCATCTGCCCATCCACTCTATAATGGCAACAGCCAGCATTTAGCCAAGGTGAGGCCAGGGGTTTCATTCAGGTCTCCCACATGGGTGGCAAGATCTCCAAACACTTGGGCTATCTTCTGCTGTTTTTCCTGGGTCATTAGAAGGGAGCTAGGGGGCTGGTGCAATAACCTAATGGCTACATTCTTGCCTTGCATCTACCAGGATCCCATATGGGCACCGATTCATATCCTGGCTGCTCCACTTTCCATCAAGATCCCTGCCTTTGGCCTGGGAAAGCAGTGGAGGACTGCTCAAAACTTTGGGACCC